AAAATCAAAGGCCTACCGTACAGGGGGGGTCTTTTTCGTTAGTGCATTATGCCGGGTAGCCGTCGTTAGCATGACGTCACGGGCTGCCGCCACACTCCACAGTGACTCCTCAGTGCTGCCATGGTGAAAGGAAATATTGCACTTCTTTCTCTCATCCGCCCCATCTTTTGTCCGGTGTTCCCTTAGGTTTTGGGGCTATACATGTTTGATTATAAGTAAAAGGAAGTCTTTAACACCTGAAACTATAGCTCAAATCATAGGGCTTCACAAAGCTGGGCACCAGACGAAAGAAACAGTGGAGAATGTTGGTGTGTGTGAGCGTTCAGTAAGGAACCGAGTACAGCGTATCAAGGCTGGTGGCGATTTCGTCTGCCAAACCTCGGCCTGTTGCCTCGAAGAAGACATCTGTTCGTACCTTAACTGTGTTAAAGAAGCAGTTAGAGAATACACTTAGAATAACTGCTAGAGAATTGAAAGAAAAGAACCCATTCTCCTCAGAGTGTCGTAGAACTTTAACAGATGTGTGTCAAACGACTACAGTATCATCGCAGTTAAGAAACGATCCTCTCAAGCCAAAGAAAAAACGTAGGCTGGATTTTGCAAAGAAATCTCTTCACTGGAATCCTCAACAATGGTCTGAAGTACTTTGGAGTGTTGAAGCAACCTTCACTGTCACCTGTAACCGTGGGGGACATGTGTACCGGCCCATATGTAGTGACCCACTAGACCCACGCTACACCTGTGGGACCACCAAACACCCAGACTCGTTCATGGTTTGGGGGTGTTTCAGTGCTCAGAGTGTTGGTAAACTCACTGTGCTTCCCAGAAAACAGTATATGAACCAGTATAATTACCTGGAGTTATTGTGTAACAATTTACCCGAGGCATTTTACAAGTTTGGGGCTACGGTTTTTATGCAGGACAGTGCACCGTGTCATACCGCAAATCTGTAGTTCATTGACTGTGAAGTGACGTTCTTTAATTACTGGCCAGGCAATTCTTCAGACCTAAGCCCTATTGAGAAACTCTGGTCACTAGTGAAATGAAGTCTACTGGGCAAGGATATTAGTTCCATCCCGCGGCTGGAGGCTAACCTACACGAGGCATGGAATAATATACCTCCCAAACCCTCAAGAATTTGTGTGAGGGTCTTCCTACACGGCTGAGGGCGTGATTAAGCGTAAAGGACGCAATACCAAGTGTGTGCGTGTGTGTGTGTTATATATATATATATAATATATATATATATATATATATATATATATATATATATATATATATATATATATATATATATATATATGCAGTGCTAGTGACGGCATTATGCTGTCTCCCTGCCCCACACACGTACCAAAACACAAACACATACCATGAAAACATATATTTTCATGGTATGTGTTTGTGTTTTGGTACGTGTGTGGGGGAGGGGGGCAGCATAATGCCGTGACTAGCATTGTGTATATATAATGTTACTGAAAGCAGTGAAGTGTTTTTACGAGGATAGTGAGCTCAGGTCAGAGTATGTAGGAGAGAGGGAAATTTTCCCCACTAAAAGTAGGCCTTAGATGTCACCGTGGTTGTTCAATATATTTATAGATGGGGTTGTGAGAGAATGAATGTACGGGTCTTGGCAAGAGGTGTGGGGTTGAAAGATAATCTAACACAAAGTGGGAGTTGTCACAGTTGCTCTTTGCTGATGACACTGCTTTTCGGAGATTCTGAAGAGAAGTTGCAGAGGTTAGTGGATGAGTTTGGTAGGGTATATAAAAGAAGAAAATTAAAAGTGAATATAAGAAAGAGTAAAGTGATGAGGATAAAAATATTAGGTGATGAAAGATTGGATATTAGATTGGAGGGAGTGAGTATGGAGGAGGTGAATGTATTCAGATATTTGGGAGTGGACGTGTCAGCAGATCGGTCTATGAAGGATGAGATGAATCATAGAATTGATGAGGAGAAAAAGGCGAGTGGTGCACTTAGGAGTCTGTGGAGACAACTTTGTCCATGGATGCAAAGAGGGGAATGTATAAGAGTATAGTTATACCAACACTCTTATATAGGTGTGAAGCATGGGTGGTGAATGTTGCGACAAGGAGAAAACTAGAGGCAGTGGAGATGTCATATCTGAGGATAATGTGTGGCGTGAATGTAATGCAGAGAATTCATAGTTGGGAAATTAGGAGGAGGTGCGGGATTACCAAAACTATTATCCAGATAGCTGAGGAGGGGTTGAGATGGTTCGGGCCTGTAGAGAGGGTGGAACAAAATAAAATGACTTCGAGAGTGTATAAATCTGTAGTGGAGGGTAGGCGGGGTAGGGTTCGGCCTAGGAAAAGTTGGAGGGAGGGGGTAAAGGAGGTTTTGGACTTCTAGTAAGCATGCGTGAGCGTATTTAACGAGAGTGAATGGAGACAAATGGTTTTTAATACTTGATGTATTGTTGGAGTGTGAGCAAAGTAACATTTATGAAGGGATTCAAGGAAACCGGCAGGCCGGACTTGAGTCCTGCAGATGGGAAGTACAGTGTCTGCACTCTGAAGGGTGTTAATGTTGCAGTTTTATAACCGTAGTGTAAGCGCGCCTCTGGCAAGACAGTGAGGGAGTGAATGATGAAAGTTTTTCTTTTTTGGGCCACCCTGCCTTGGTGGGAATCGGCCGATGTGTTAAAAAAAATAATATATATATGTGTGTGTGTGTGTGTGTATGTATGTGTGTGCAAGGAATTCGCAAGATCAGGCGAAATATACACAAACACTGATCTCTGGCTGAAGAAGACTCGAACCTACAAACCTTGGAACAAGGTACGCAGTGCTATACCAATCTACCCACACTGGACAATACCTTGGCGTGCAGCTTGCGCTACACCTTGATCCAAGGCAGCCAGCTTTCAGGGAGAAGGCTTACAGCTTTTCATCTCATCCCTTGCATGCATCAGCCTTACTAGAGGTTTTAACAATGCAAGGAATTCGCAAGAGCAGGTAGATTAGTATAGCACTGCGTACCTTGTTCCACGGTTTGTAGGTTCGAGTCTCCTTCAGCCAGAGATCAGTGTTTATATATATTAATATATATATATATATATATATATATATATATATATATATATATATATATATATATATATATATATATATATGCAATAAGATCACAGTAAACAGGTGATTTCAAAATATGCAAAACAACCACTCTGAAAGAATAGAGAAATTCCAAGCGCTTTCGTGACTACTCACATTATCAAGGAACTATGAAAGTAAAGCATCCAAGGAAGCTATATAAGGGGTCTGGCCAGCACCTCACTATCAGATCCGGTGTTTAACGTTGTGGGATCTGATAGTGAGGTGCTGGCCAGACCCCTTATATAGCTTCCTTGGATGCTTTACTTTCATAGTTCCTTGATAATGTGAGTAGTCACGAAAGCGCTTGGAATTTCTCTGTTCTTTCAGAGTGGTTGGTTTGCGTTTTGAAATACCTGTTATATCTTATTATATATATATATATATATATATATATATATATATATATATATATATATATATATATATATATATATATATATATATATATATATATATAACCTTTATTATAATGTGAAAATACGTTAACTTACGCATGGACGCTGTTGAGATTGCCTCCCGCCTGTGATGTGTTCCCCAGCAACCAGAATTGTTCCCAGGAGAGCAGCAGCAGCAGCAGCTTCTTGCTCCTCACACCAGCTAAAGTGTTCCTCCTCCCGCCTCCCTTCTCTGTTCTTTCGCTCATCTCTTCATCTCGGTCCTTCCCACTCTTAACTCTCCTCTCCAATCATCTCCACTTCCTGAACCCCCTTCTTTCATATCCATCCCTTCATCCGACCTGGTCTACTGCATGCCATAATGTCATTCCTAGGTTGTGATGATTCACTGTCACGCAGCACACACACAAATACATTCACTCACATTCTCTCCCTCCCCCCCCTCTCTCTCTCTCTCTCTCTCTCTCTCTCTCTTTCACCCTCCCTCCATTCACGAGTCAGATACTCTTCCATACCCAGCCTCAGCTAAACATGTGGCAAGATGAATACCAAAAATGTTTGTACGATAACTATAGCCATTACGTAAATAAGACTTTCCCAATTTTTGTAAGAAAAGAGTTTTCCCGGAGAGTGCAAAAAAAAATGCATCAAGATAAATACATCTTTTTCAGTGCCCCCTTGAGCACATGCATCACTCTGACCATTACTACGCAACTTAACACGATTTACTCTCGCATTCACGAGAAAACTTAACGCAATTCCCGTTTTCTCTTCTTGAAACTCGACAACTTAGCCCCCACAATTGCCAGAATTTACGTTATATCCTTTTCGTTCTTAGTTCCTTTACTTGCAGGCTACGAACAGACCAAGAGAACGCTAATGAAAAATTCCGCATCACTTTATATTTATTGTAGCCCAAGAACATTAAGTTTGACACGGAAAACAATTCCTTCCAGTCTGATTTATGCAGGATTCACTTAGACTTGTACTCGTCAAACGTACTAAAAGTTACCGGGAATCAAAGTTCAGAAAAACCTTGAATTAAAAATTTGACGTCATGACGCAATTTGCGGTATTGGAAATGTTGACAGATCCATAGCTTTTCATACAAGTGTCATAAAACAACATGTATATGTTTCCTACCATCAGAAGTTAATTTATTTACACCTGTAAGAATTCAGGCTTTATTTCTATAAAAAAATAAAACTAATCCCATTTTCCGAGAGGCTCGAAAATAATGATGTGACTTGAAGTGAATTTTTATGGCATTTCCAGTCGGTGATATCTAAATATTTTTCCATTCCAGACAGAATCATAATGGATGAACTCTGAATTATCTGCGAAGAAAAATACTGGGTTGAATTATAGTACTGCCGTGGTGAGAAGGTTTTAGCACACTGGAACAATGTAACCAGGCACGTAATGACGAGTAGGCCATTGAAGATGTTTCTCACATACAGATATAACTATACGAGGCTTTTAAAAACAGAAAGAGAAGGAAAACAGGAAGACGAGACAGATGAGAACCCCGATAAGTTGCGCTCTAGAATTCCGACATTTAATATAAAAGAAAACTGTACGGTTATCAGCTGTTATGCGAGTGGTTTAAGTGCTGCACCCATTGACACTGGAAAGTGTGAGGCCTTTAACAAATTGTGTCAACATTTAAATGAAAAAGATGAACGTCAGTACTGTTTGTCTAGCTTGTTAGCGTCACATGTAGGTTATACCCCAAAGAGACTTTATAAAAAAAAAAAAACTAGTTCGTCACGGCCACGCTAGCTGGAGATTCGTCTGTCAAAACTTGCATCTGTGGTCACAGTGGTGCCTATGCTAACCTTCCTATGGTGTAGAAATATACCTAGTTGGACGAATCTTATTGTGGCTAGCTGGTCCAGTGGCTAACGCGACGGTCTGGAGTTTTGAGACTCTGATTGCGGGTTCTATCCCCTCCCGTGGTATGGTTTGTTTGCAATCGTGTCATTACGATTTCGTTAGTCGAGTCAGACTTCATAAAAGACTGAAAGGTCATTATATTGATCAAATAATTACCGCAACCAGTGAGTGACAACCAAGTGTATTAAAATATATTAATATATATATATATATATATATATATATATATATATATATTATATATATATATATATATATATATGCAATAAGATCACAGTAAACAGATGATTTCAGAATATGCAAAACAACCACTATGAAAGAATAGAGAAATTCCAAGCGCTTTCGTGACTACTCACATTATCAAGGAACTATGAAAGTAAAGCATCCAAGGAAGCTATATAAGGGGTCTGGCCAACACCTCACTATCAGATCCACACAACGGTTAAACACCTGATGCGCGCCGGCCCAACTGGACAGGTCCTTTGCACAACTCACCAACAAACTATTCTACCCAAGAAAATTTAAAAATTATTATTTGTCCAGTGTATTATTAAATTCTTCCCAAATTCTATTAATTATAAATGGATCTAATTTATATAAACCAAAGGAAATATTCATATTATTGTCAAAACTGCTTTTTATGAAACAAGATTCAATTATATTCCTGTCGACCATGGACTTGCTTGATACTACTTTCTCAACTTTTTGAAAATCAATTGGATGGTTAAAATCTCTTACATGAATAAATAGAGCATTGGAATCTTGTTCAGTTCTAATGCTATATTTATGTTGTTTTAATCTTAGAGATTTTTACCAGTTTGACCGTAAAAACTTTATCGCAAATTTTACAAGGAATCTTATAGACACATCCATCAGCATTTTGGGGGGAATTCTTTATCAAAAGTTTTTTTACTGTATCATGATTTTTGAATACAACTTTAATATTAAAAGTCTTAAAAAGAAGGCATATCAACCAAGTTTTCATGGTAAGGGAGAACCAACATATTTTTGGGTTGAATAAGGCTGGTTGTCCTTTTTGGTTGTAAAAAGAATTTCTAGCAACTTTAAAAGATTTATCAATTACATTTCTTGGGTATTTTAAATCATTACCTATTTCATAAATTTTGGATATTTCCTCATCTATGAACTCAGGACTACAAATTCGTAAAGCTCTCAAAAACATTGATTAGAAAACAGACAGTTTGGCTCTATCTTGATGCGAGGAATAATAGTGGACATAGGAACAGTTATTTGTAGGTTTCTGTAAATTTTAAATTTGAATTCATTATTCCCCTTTAATTTAAAACATCTAGAAAAGGCAATGAGTTATTTTCTTCAAACTCAACAGTAAAGTTTATAGAATGGGCTAAGTTATTTAATTTTCCAAGGAAATGGTGTATATCTACATTTTTGGGCATAAGACACAAAATATCATACATATCTGAACCATTTAGCTCTATTAGGGAGGATTGTGTTAAGCAACCTTGTTTAAAAAAATTTCAATGTATAGGTTACTAAGAACAGGTGAAAGAGGATTTCCCATTGCCATACCAAACTTCTGAGTGTAAAACTTATCATTAAATACAAATTTTGCATCAACAATGCAAAGTTTAATAATTTTAATGACAGTAGGAACTGGCAATGGTAAATCATAGTTAACGAGTTCTTCAGATAAGAAACTTAATAAATCATCAACAGGAACTTTCGTAAACAAGGAAGTAACATCAAAACTAACCATGTTAAAATCATTTAAGTCAGTCAAGGAGCTTAATTTATCAACCAAGTCTATGTTGTTTTTAGCATTAAAGTTAGAATTTTTGCCAACAATAGGGCTCAAAATATCAACAAGCCACTTGGATAATTTATATGAAACTGACCCTATGGATCTAATAATTGGTCTGACTGGATTCCCTGGTTTGTGTGTTTTTATTAGTCCATACATGTAAGGTAAAGATGGATTAGTGGAAGTAAATTGTTTGACTAATTCATCTTTGCCTTTCAATAAAACTTCTACTGAAAGGCAAAGATGAATTAGTCAAACAATTTACTTCCACTAATCCATCTTTACCTTACATGTATGGACTAATAAAAACATACAAACCAGGGAATCCAGTGAGACCAATTATTAGATCCATAGGGTCAGTTTCATATAAATTATCCAAATGGCTTGTTGATATTTTGATCCCTATTGTTGGCAAAATTTCTAACTTTAATGTTAAAAACAACATAGACTTGGTTGATAAATTAAGCTCCTTGACTTACTTAAATGATTTTAACATGGTTAGTTTTGATGTTACTTCCTTGTTTACGAAAGTTCCTGTTGATGATTTATTAAGTTTCTTATCTGAAGAACTCGTTAACTATGATTTACCATTGCCAGTTCCTACTATCATTAAACTTATTAAACTTTGCATTGTTGATGCAAAATTTGTATTTAATGATAAGTTTTACACTCAGAAGTTTGGTATGGCAATGGGAAATCCTCTTTCACTAGTTCTTAGTAATCTATACATGAAATTTTTTGAAACAAGGTTGCTTAACACAATCCTCCCTAATAGAGCTAAATGGTTCAGATACGTTGATGATATTTTGTGTCTTATGCTCAAAAATGTAGATATACACCATTTCCTTGGAAAATTAAATAACTTAGCCCATTCTATAAACTTTACTGTTGAGTTTGAAGAAAATAACTCATTGCCTTTTCTAGATGTTTTAATTATTAAGGGTAATAATGAATTCAAATTTAAAATTTACAGAAAACCTACAAATAACTGTTCCTATGTCCACTATTATTCCTCGCATCAAGATAGAGTCAAACGTCTGTTTTCTCATCAATGTTTTTGAGAGCTTTACGAATTTGTAGTCCTGAGTTCATAGATGAGGAAATATCCAAAATTATGAAATAGGTATGATTTAAAATACCCAAGAAATATAATTGATAAATCTTTAAAGTTGCTAGAAATACTTTTTACAATCCAAAAAGGGACAACCAGCCTTATTCAACTAAAAATATGTTGGTTCTCCCTTACCATGAAAACTTGGTTGATATGCCTTCTCTTCTTAAGACTTTTAATATTAAAGTTGTATTCAAAAATCTTGATACAGTAAAAAAAACTTTTGATAAAGAATTCCCCCCAAAATGCTGATGGATGTGTCTATAAGATTCCTTGAAAATTTGCGATAAAGTTTATTACGGTCAAACTGGTAAAAATCTCTAAGATTAAAACAACATAAATATAGCATTAGAACTGGACAAGATTCCAATGCTCTATTTATTCATGTAAGAGATTTTAACCATCCAATTGATTTTCAAAAAGTTGAGAAAGTAGTATTAAGCAAGTCCATGGTCGACAGGAATATAATTGAATCTTGTTTCATAAAAAGCAGTTTTGACAATAATATGAATATTTCCTTTGGTTTATATAAATTAGATCCATTTATAATTAATAGAATTTGGTAAGAATTTAATAATACACTGGACAAATAATAATTTTTAAATTTTCTTGGGTAGAATAGTTTGTTGGTGAGTTGTGCAAAGGACCTGTCCAGTTGGGCCGGCGCGCATCAGGTGTTTTAACCGTTGTGGGATCTGATAGTGAGGTGTTGGCCAGACCCCTTATATAGCTTCCTTGGATGCTTTACTTTCATAGTTCCTTGATAATGTGAGTAGTCACGGGAAAGCGCTTGGAATTTCTCTATTCTTTCAGAGTGGTTGTTTTGCATATATATATTTTATATATATATATATATATATATATATATATATATATATATATATATATATCAGTGGTATAAAATTCCAAATATGTATAGTTTTCTTTATCTTTGGCATAAAATTCTTGGGAAGAAGTGGAAGAGTAGCACTAAATTCACATCGTCTTGTGATTAAGACAGTATCGTAGATATCGCAGCTTGATAATACGTAATGACATCAAAACCCATGCATACGAGTGTTCAGATACCCATGACCTCAACAACATTAAGTCGTTGACACCGGAATATATTGATCGCATGCTTCATGGCATTATCAAATCAAAGTCTGATACACAACTGCTGAACATCGGTATATTGCAATAGATCACAGCATCGTATCAGTTCTTCGACCTAGGTCATTCTGTCATGTAGTTATGTGTACCAACCGTTACACTCTCACAGCTTGGGAATGGCGGGGTCTCGAGCAGACGCTGCCCCAGTTCTTTTAAATGCCGTGGACGAGTTTCCCACGACAGTCATGATGTAGTCTTGCACTGACACGTACGGAGCAGACGCAATAAACTACAGAACAAGAGCAGTTGTGATCTTCCACTTACCCCTCGACCAGCGATCCAAATTACAGACCGCACGATAATTCATATCACCACTCCAGGTACTGGATATAAAACACTGCCCTACAGGCAGTCTTTTATATCCAGTATCCAGTTTTATATCCAGTTATTACAACCCAAGTACTCAAAGGCCTGTTATCCTGGGTGTAAAGGGAGCAAAATAAACAAACAGCAAAACTTTGACTTATATTATCCTTCACCAAGTATAGACAGAAGTATGTACACTATATACACTATGTACAGCAATAGGTATTAGTACACGCCACAGTAATCAAGGCAGCATTAAAGCCAGTAGAATGTAGACCACCGTGTTTCAACCAGTTCTCGAATGGAAATGACAAGGGTGAAAACGTGAGTGGTAACCACAATTGCCAGATCCACCTTCTCATTGGCTGAACCTAGATACTGATCTGACGATGGGGCCCCGATCGTCCGACCCTTAGCATCTGGTTTGCTGGTTGGTGAGGCAGCCTATGCAAGTGTGTTAACATGTTCCGA